TGTCCTTTTACGTAAATCAATATACATTGTTATGTGTCATTCCATGTGTGTTCTCAACTTTGGAGTCTATTATATACCTGTACATTGTATTCAGAAACGTTTGTGTGAAAAATGTCAGTGTTTTATTTTCATAACTAGTTCAACAAGGGAACATTGTGGAATCCCAAGAGTAATTCTGTGACAGAGAAGTCATGTTGGTAGTTCAGGGTTTGCTGATTTGTCTGATAGTTCACGGTTTGTTGAATGTCTCGTAGACGTCTCAGTGTAAGTCAGTTGATTGTTGACCAAATACTAAAACCGTTTCGACCCCTTTCTCCCCCCGCTGCTGCCCCTTTATGCAGTCAAGGGGAAGAACTAGGTCTTTTTCCTCGGGCTACGGAGCGACAGAGGTGATTATCTTCCTTTGACTGCTTTTATTTAGCTGTTTTTTTTATACCTTTATAACCCTGGTGTATTCGTCGAAGCTGTTCTGAGTGTGTGTGTATGTGTGTGTGTGTGTGTGTTTATATTAGGTCACAGAACTGGCAAAATAGAATAGACATTGCAACTGGTCAGGGTTTTGTCAGCCACCTCGATAGATGTAGGAGAAAGTTGACTGCATCAGAGTCTGAATTATAATTTTTTTACAATTATTTTTATCTCATTTCCAACCATTGTTGAATCCGGTGATCTGTGATATGTAAAGAGAACACTCTACATACACTACATGTTTTCAGTAGTTCTGGGGGATGAAAGAAAGAAATGTTTCCTCACAAGTTGAATGTGCAAGTACTTGTAGTGGTTACAGTGAGACAGAGAGAATGTAGTTATGGTATCTGCAGCACAGAGATAGTGCATCTTTTTGGGGGGGATTCAGTTTCAGTTGGGGGGGGTACTGTCTACCTTCAGGTCAGATAGACAGAGCCCATTACCTTTATTGATGTATTGTAAACCAGTGCAACCTCTACTCTCAGACCCCAGTTTGTGATGTGGGAACGTCGCGACCGTAGCTCCGTCTGTTGTTTCTGCCAGTTCTGTGATGTGTTGGCCCTGCTCATGTCAGTTAGATTGATGTCCATAGGTTTTTTTGGAGAGATGGACTCCTGTCATTTTTTAGAGTTGGAAGCTAGTATTTTTTAGAGATGGATGCTTAGAGTTGGAAGGAAGCTAGTATTTTTTAGAGTTGGATGCTAGTATTTTTTAAGAGTCATATTAACAGCAGTATTTTCTTTAGTATTAGACGCTAGATTTAAAAAAATAAAAACTGGTTTTTCTTCACAAAGACTACGAAAGACCAAGAAAGCTTTACCGTCGTCACATTTACCGTCATTGCTTCATTTCTTCATGTTGCAGCTTTTTGTCCACTTTTCCTTGTTGTTTCACCATCGTAGCATGGAGCCATTGTTGCAGATGTTGACAGCTCTCAGCTTACGTCGTGCACAACGCGTTTTTCTTGCTCAAAATCTGCTTTAAGAATCAGCTTTTTAAAAAAAAAATGTTTCTTTTTACTTTTTCAGATTGTCATTACTCTTGAGAATAAAACGAAGTACTGATAGTAGATTCTATGTCTGAGCTGCGGGGGGGGGGTTGTTGTGTCTCCTTTATTGGTTTTTGTTTTGGTGTTGTTTGTTGTTTTTTGGGGGGGGGGTTCTCTTTTTTAAATATTTCATGTTTGAAGACAGATTGAAGGATTGATCAAGTCTCAAAGTTAAGGTTTATTTATTTATTTGTGTATTTTTGGCTTGTTTGTTTGTTTTTTCTAAATATTTTCCTTTTGAAGATAGATGGAAGTGCTGATGATGTCCCAATACTTGTACTGTAAACATTGTTGTATTTGTAGCTGTGGACTCGACTAGCGTTGCTTTTAGTAAGTGCAAAACGCCATGTCACAATTGTACAGTGTGTGTGTATTTATACCGTAAACCTTCTAGAAACATTATTTAAACCTACACACTTTTTTTTTAAAACCTGTTTTCAGCTAGATCTATAGGGAAATGGTTTACTTCCATGAATGTCAACATTCTGCTGGGTTTTTAGGTCTCTTTTTAATGATGATAATAATAATGGTAATAATAATAATAATGGTAATAATAATAATGGTAATAATACAAGTATATTACATGTTCATGGTTTGCAGCCCTGATTAAAAAGTTCAGGCTTTGAGTGCTTTACATATACAAAAAATACGAACGGTATTTTAGTTTCTGTCTTAAGATATTAATAATTGATTTAATCTCAATAGAGAAATGACGTGAGTTAACTTTTGAATGCTCAGACAGATGTGATGAGTCTTACATTACATTGTACTACAGTTTTGATAATGAGCAAAGAAGGATGCAGATTTGGCATTTTTTGTAGAAAATAAGAAAACTCTTTCTCCTCAAAGTCCTAAAGAAGTGTTTTGGTGTTGTGGCTTAGATGAAGCAGGAAAATTCCATCTTGATGTCTTTGTTTGTGCTACAAAATCTCTGTACTTTTGAGACACAGCATACTTTTTGTAGTTTTTAAAAATTTGTGTGAGTGTATCTCATCATCAGAGGTAAAGTTGAATTGTCAGATTTTCAAAACTTTTTTCCCCCCCTGGCCATTAACAATTACACATTTTTCCGTGTCAGAGTAAAAATAAAATTGTTTGGAAACGTGTGTAGCTTGGTTCAGGTCAGACTGGGACGGCCATGAGGTTTTCAGAGGGGTTTTTATTGGGGGGGG